CTTTTGAGAAAGCCACTCCCAACCTTTGCCATGTGGCACAGATATTAAGGTCAGTGAGGCAGCCTATGGGCTGGGAGCAGGATAATTTGTAGAGGCCCTTGGCTGGGAGCCCAGGTTGGGGCCGAGCGGATGTGGACATGCATGAGCAGAGGCCTGGGACCGTCCTGAGGGCTTATGGAAAAGTGACAGCCCGCGAGGGCAGTACCTACATGATGGCGCGTTTGCCGCAGGATATCTGGTTGTGCTGGTAGCGAATGAGTAACTCCACGGGCATCTCCGACACCATCGTGTTGCACGTGATGTTGCATTTCGTCACACCAAGGTGCTGTCCTGAGTCCACAGAGGTCACCAGTCAGTAGGGCTGTCCATGGGCATCTGGCTTCCCAGCCTTATGCCAACGTGTCCTGGCCACACCACCCAAGCCAGAAACTTCCCTGCACACTCTGGCCTTCAAGGCCTTGACTCAGCTCCCTTCCCTCTGAACTTCTCTGTGTCCCTACATGTCAAATGGGGATGACAATCATTGTCACATAGAGTTAGTAGAATCATGAAAATGAATCCTCATAGTGTTATAAGGATTAATGAAAGTGAATTCTTGTTTGTAGAGGGTTTTTTTTGCCTGGCACATAGGAAGCATTTGATTTTTCCCCCCTTTTTTCTTTTCTTTTCTTTTCTTTTCTTTCTTTCTTTCTTTCTTTCTTTCTTTCTTTCTTTCTTTCTTTCTTTCTTTTTCTTTTTTATGCTGTGGGATGTGTGCACTCACTGAAGAGAGACAGAGAAGGGGGAAAGTGAGAACTCACTCCCCTGGGGATTGGCTACACCACAGTCCCTTCTAACTTCATTCTCCTCTCAGGATCTTGGGCATTCACACACGTATGCCCACTTGTGTTTTTTAAGCTGCTAGGTCTGGGACTCAAACCACAGAGTTGGCCATGTGGGATCTAGTGCTTTAAGCACCGCACCACCTGCTGGCCCACAGAAGCGTTTAGTTTTTGAAGTTAAGTTGTTGTACTCTGTCTGCTGGATAGCAGGGGAGACCAGTCTGAGAGTAACAGACATCTGCCTGAGCTCACACCGCCAGCAAGTGATGGGACAATCTCTCCTACACAGCTTGGTTCCCATGCCATGCTGGCTTCTGACCCCGCCCATCCCCCATACCTGCCTTCATTCCACTAAGTCACCAGCTCAACTATCATGCCTGCAATACCCCACCATGAAATACACCATTCCTCCTCTCAGGCTGTTTCACAGTCATGGATTTCCACAACCTCTGAGACACACCCAGACCTCTGTCCATCCACATCTTGTCTGACCACCCTGTACACATCTATGCACACACACACACACACACACATATACACTCAATGAACACAATGGCACAAGTGCATACCTACATATGAAAGCACATAAAAATATATGTATAAGCAGGCACATAAGCAGATAATAACTCTTTTAAACATGTAAAGTCCAACTCTCTTCAGGAAGGGGAAGTTTGCTGAATAGAGGACTCTGCCATTCTGAGCCAGAAGGCTTTTGAGAGCACTGCTGGAAGATCAGATCACTGCGTACCAGGTGGAGCCAGAGAGCACCCCAGAACAGGACTAGGGCACTCAAACCAATGATCTAATATGAATATTTGAAGTTTGCATTTGTATTTCTGACTTTCTCCTCTCTCTCTTTCTCTCTTTCTTTTTTTAAGAGGTTTTTGCCTTAGGGCACATGTGCTTGCAGATAATAGAGACAGAGACAATGAAAGGGAAAGTGAGAAATCACCCCCCAGTGGGGATAGCCATGCTGCAGTCCCTTCTCCATTCTCCTCACAGGATCTTGGGAACACATGCACACATGCCCGGCATGAGTTTCAAGCCATCTGGTCTGGGATTCAAACTACAACTGGTCAAGTGGGAGTCCAGCGACATAACCACTGTGCCATCTACTGGCCCCTCCTCTTTTCTTAAAATCTTTAGCAAGTTTTTTTTCTGCTTGGTGCAAGCTCAGAGAAGTTGGGTGTAAAAAATGAAGAAGAGCTTGAGTTTCAGATCTAGGTCAAGGTTATGTGGCCTCAAAAGCAAGACCCCATGGGGTTTTGCAGACAACTAGAGGCCAGCATTTCCAGAGCAGGACAGTGGAGACACCAAGCTGATCTTACCTAGACCTCCAGGGCCTGGGAGGCCTCCAGCTGTTCCCAGGTACTACCCAAACACACATTGCTCGTGCACAAATATTCACATATATGTGGACATGCAAACATACCCCACCTTCCCCAATGCAGGCACACACATGCAGACTCCCTGAATTGGCCACCTTCTCTCCCCACTATGCCGCCTTAACCTTGACCACCCAGCTGTGGGAAGGGTGGCTTAGGGTCCACAGGTCTGGGCTCGGGGTCAGCAAGGGGCAGTGTCAGTGGCCTAGAGTGAGTAGCAGGGCCTCTCCAGGGGCTTCCCTTTATCTTAGGAATTAGGAAGTGAGACTCATCTGGCAGCCCTGTCAACTTTTTTCTTCCTAGGGGACCTCAGAATGACTCAGCTGCAGCCTCCCCAGGCCCTGGTAAGTGGAGCCAGCCAGCAGTCTCTGAACTGGCCTGGCAGGTGTCTTCCTGGGGAAGCCCAGAAAAAACAATGCCCTTGAGTGACCTGAGACAGGAGGGGCAAAGGAGGCTGCTCAAGGCTAGGACGAAGGCCCCTTCCACCATAACCAGGCTAGAGAAGGCCACTGCCCACCTCAAGGGCTTTAAAGAGCCGCAGCGTCATCCTATTCGCGCCCTCTGCCTCGATGCCTGAAAGCTCGCGTCCAGGCTCCACTCTCGGTTCTGCCAGGGAGGTTGTTAACTAACCTAGGGGAGGCCTTTCCCTTCTTGGAGCTGAAGTTTTCTTTTCTGAAATGGACATAATGCCTCCAGCCAGCCAGTCATCTGTTATCTGTCACATGAATGTGAGGAGGGCAGGGACCTCGTCTGTCTAGGTGCAGTGTTTCACAGCACAAGCACAGTAAATACTCAATAAGTATTTATTGAATGAATAATGTCTCAGTCTGCTTCTCCCTTATTTAGGCATCCACCCACCTACCCCTCCAGCCATCCAGCCATCCCTTTATCTAACCCTTCTTGTCAGTCTCTCCCATCTCGCACCCACCCATCTGTCTTCTGCCCACTCATCGCTCATTCATCCATCTGCCCACCCCCAGCTCACCCACCGACCACCTGTCCATCCTCCATCCCCTTTCCTCTCACCCCGCTCATCCGTTCGTTTTCACCTACCCATCCGTCCCTCACCAGCCCACTCACCCATCTTTCATCCATCCATCCATCCAACCAGCCATTTTCTGATTCAGCCAACCCTTGCTTAGGTCACTTTTGAGTATACACAGAGAACCAGGCCCTCAGTCCTGAGCTCTTTTTCCCACAGGGGCTGGAGCTGAGCTTGGAGAGAGCACCTCGATCCCAGTAATACTATCAGCTCACTGAGCATATTCAGTCCATCCCCAGAGCCTGCTCCTCCCTCTTGCCAGGCCCTGTGCTGCGTGCTGTGAGGCACAGTGGGATGAACAAGGCCCGGCTCTGCGCAGACATCCCTCCACCCGAGGAACAGATGAAACATGCCCACAAAGTTCCTGAGCTTTTTGTGTGGAGTACCTACTGTGTGTCAGACCCTGTTCAGCACATGCACATCAGCTCTCATTAATTGCCAATGTCCTTGCAAAGCAAGTATCCCCTTCTTACAGATGCAGAAGGTGAGACTCAGAGAGCTTAAATAACTCACCCAAAGCCACACAGCTACTTAGTGGCAGAGCTGGTTTTCCACCCACCCCAACCCACTGTCATAGGTTGCCTTAGAAGCTAGGTACAAGCACGATATTCCGGGACAGACCACAAGTGTACTGGAGTTTACTGAGGGAGAGAACACTTCCAACTGCACGTGATCAGGGAAGGCTTCTTGAGGTGTCCCTTAGGCTGGACCTCAGGGACCGTTAAGAGCCTTATATTCAGGAATGTCCTGTGTCTCTGGGCGAGGTAATGGAGAGGACTTGTGCCATTGCTCAGCTGTGTGTCCTGAGTGAGTCACAGACTCTGTGAACCTCAGTCCCCTTGCCTATGAAGTGGACATAATAAAACCTGCTTTGCAGGGTGGTTGTGAGAATAAACAGCATTTTTAAATATCTGGGGCATCTTCCCTTGAAGCAGAATTTCTCAACAGGGACACTGTGGTCATTTGGAGCTAGCTAATTCATTGTTATAGGGCTGCCTTGTGTACAGCGGGTTGTTTACAGCACCCCTGGCCTCCCCACTAGATGCCAGCAGCACCTCTGAACCAAAAATATGGGGCATTTATAACAACCAGAAATGTCCCAGAAATTGCCAAATGGCTCACTGATTTATTGTGTGTACTGTTGGTGTTCTCCAGTCGAATTTCAGTACCCCGAGGCCTGGGATCTTTGGCCATTTTATCTATTGATGCAGCCTCAGCACCTAGAACTGTGCTTGTCACATGGTAGGTGTCCGATAGATATTTGCTGAATGCATGGACAAAGAGCATAAGGAAGCACTTTGTGACCTATAAAACCTTACAGCAGAAAAATAGAGGTATTTTCATTTAAATTCGATGGGGGCCTGGATATGACATGCTGGATTTATCCTCCCCTGCCTTCCCCATCCACCCCCTCTGCTAACCAGGGCTGCAGACTATAGCAGCTTAAAACAGGGTTTTTTCTTTTTCTTGCTGGGACTTGAGTGGGAGTGAATGCGTCAGTGCTTGGGAGAAAAAGCCTCTGCTCTGCCTCATATCTGCAGGTTTGTTATATAAAGCACAAGATCCTCCTGCCTCACACAGCCCCGCAAGCCCACATTTGGGGCTTGACGCAGTTGCCCTGATCCAGCCAGAGCTTAGCATCAAGCAGTCCCAAGCCCCACTCAGGGCCTCTTCTCAGGGGCTCCCGGGGGGTCTCTCAGAGCCACAAATATCCGTGCCAGTGAGGACCTCCAAGGTGGGCCTGATCAAATGCCCAGTTTTACAGGAGGAAAACCTGAGGCTCAGAAAGGTTGAAAAGTGCCTAGTATCTCTCAGTAAAGTCAGTGACCAAGATTAGGACAGAAACCTGAAGCTCCTGAAACCCTGGGCTGCTAGTCAGAGCATCTAGGGTCCTCTAGGGTCCCCTTTCCATTCTAGCATAGGCTTCTTCCTTAACCCCCTCAGCTTAGTAAAAACAATCCTCCCTCTTCCAGAATGCCTTCATAGTCATGGGGCTGCATCACCCCTAGGGATGCAACTGCTGTATGTAGGTATAGCAGCTAGGACCAGAGAAGGCAAGATACTCCCAGGGTCACACAGCAGATTATGGCAAAGCAGTCTCTATATCTGACCCTCCAGTATCCAGCACTCAGTATCCCCTAGGCTTGGGAAGCAGGAAGCCAGCAGCAATCTGCCTCCACCACCCCCACTACCCCCCACTCACTCTCCTGCTCCCCACCCCACTGGCAAGTCTACTCCATGACGAGGTTCTGATTCTCATTATCCCAGCCCCTCATAGCCCTGGGACAAAGTCCTGCCTTCTCTGTGCATCAGCCTGCCTGAGGCCTGGACTCTCCCTGAGGACAGGCCTGACTAGCGGTGGAGGAAGTGGTGAGTCTGCATCCTTGCTCTCTCCTATACTCAGCCCTTCGCAGCCCTCCTCGCTGGCTGGGCACCTTCAGGCAGTTTCTAAACCTCTTTGACTTCCATTACCCACATCAGGGTGGATACCCCTTGCCCTACCAGGTCCTAAGCTCCAGGAAGCAATGACTGGAAGTGAAAGCATTTTCTAAGCTGTGCTTGGAGGAAGATGGTGTGATGAGGCCTACACAGGCAGAGGAATTGGGGCAAAGACCCTAACAGCAATGACAAGCCTCGTCCATGAGCTGCCATGACCTTGACCTTCACTGATCCTGGGCCCCCTACTCCTGGGGCTCTGAAACCAGGCCAGGAGAAAGATCTACCTGTGGCCTGGCCCAGGGCCAAGGCTGCGGGTTACACATTAAGCCTGGATGGGAAGACCCAGTCCTCAGACAGCCAGGGCCCCACTCCAGTTCCCGTCAGGAGCCTCCCCAGGCTCCTCCCAGCCCCCATCCTCCTGGCGCACCCACACCTGGCGCCCTTGTGCCACCCGCACCACCTCTCCGTGCTGCGGCAGCCACCTTGCCTGCTGAGCCAGGCAGGGGCAGTTGCTTCTTCAGGAGACCTGGAAATCTTCCAATGGGAGGGGAGAGCCCTGCAAGGGGCCAGGGAGTGGCCCAGCCCCCTCCCACACACTCCTCAGGAGGGACCTGGGACCTTTGACCTTACTCTAGCAAGGTCTGGGGGCCCTGAGATCAGGCTTGATGGGCAGAAGGGGGTTGGGGCTCCCTCTGCTCATACCCAGTCCAGGCCCACTTACCAGCCAGCATGGTGCTTAGATGGCAGAGGGCAACCAAGCGGAGCAGCCAGGAGAGCGGTGTCGCAGCCATAGCTGAGGGCGAGCAAGGGTCTGAGCAGGGTGCCAGGGCGGGCAGCTGGGGCTGCACGCGTGTTGGAGCTCAGTGCGGTCCCCTCACCGCTAAGCTCGGTCGCTTTTTATAATGAGGCTGGCTGCCTCCGCCTCCAGCCCCTGCAGGCAGGCGGGCGGGTGGGAGGGGAGAGGAAAGGAGCCAGTGTGCAGCGGCTGGATTCCTCGGGATGTTGCCAAGAAACCGAGCTGGCTCTCTGCTCCAGGAGGGGGGGCACGGCGGGGGTCCAGGCACCACGGTCTTGCTGCTTCTCAGACCCCGGACTGCTGGGAGGCTGGACTGGGCCTGCCAGGGTCCAAAGGCCCTTCTCTCCTCCCATCTGCACAAGTCACCTGGCCTCAGGGAGTGGCACATACCCAGGGTCTAAACTGGCCCTGCCTCCTAAGTAGACAATAAACAAGGCAGAAGTGCAGAGTGCTGGCTGCCAGTAAGCCGGAGGGACTGGAGCCCTACCTGTCCAGGTGTGAAACGCACCCCTTTGGTCTGGGATGCGTCTCTCCCACACCACCATGGACCCCCAGACTTCACCCTCAGAGCCCCAAGTCCTGAACTGTGTATTCACTGATGTGTCCCTGAGCAGGCAGGAAGCCTGGCAAATAGTAGGAGCTCAGTGCAGTGTGCACTGCAGGAATGATCCAGTCCAACTTCTGTGGTCATATGGGGAAAGTGAGGCCCAGAGAGGAGGCGGAACCACCCTAGTTTGTACAGAGCCTCCCATCCACTGCCACAGAGAGGAGGAGCAGGCACAGCAAGCATGCGGACCCCTTAGGGCAGAAGAGCCCTGGCCTCCCCCCCAACCCTCCCCTCGTTCCAGCCTCCCTGCCTTTCCTTCCCTGCTTTGCACTTTGGCCCCTGCCAGCCGCTAACTATCCTGGGTAACTCTTGGCCCTTCCCTAACCGTGTATAGCCATGCCCTGGGGAGGTACTGCTCCCCGAGAGCCTGTAAGATGGGAGTTGGACTGGCCCAGGGAGGAGGGAGCTTCCTGCTTCTACTGACCAGGTTTGCTCTCCCCTGGAGGTAGTCTGAACCTGACCAGGCGGCCCCAGCTGGAGACTCCTCAGACTGCCGTTTGCGCTCATAGGCGTTGGCTGCATGCGGCATAGCTGCTTCCATGGCACCTCCCGTGATGGTGGCGGCAGCAATCGCTGAGAGGCTGGTAGAGCCAGCAAAGGCCTAGCCCAGCCTCAGGACAGGAGGAAACGAGGCCAGCCACCAACCAGAGGGAACCCAGATAGTCTGAGAGCCTGCTGACTCTGGGTTGGGCAGAGGGGCCACAGCTCCCAGGGCAGGGCTCTCTCTCTCTGTCAGCTACACTCTCGTCCAAGCACATAGGCCTGTCTTGGGGTGGTGCTAGGAGGTTGGACACTTCTGGGGGGGGAGCCCCTCCACGGGCCAACGTCCACTCCTGCTTAGGATCCGCCCCATCTGTGCAGATAGGAAGCTAGTAACCTCCACATTTCCATCGCCCAGCAGGGATAAGGAATGGCCAAACCTGAGGTCCAGGGCTCTATTTGCTCTGCCCATGCCAGAGGCAGGACGAGAGAGAGTGCCTAGACAAAGGGGGTGTCCAGCACAACAGAAGCACAACAGGACCCACATGGGAAAGGCCTGGGTTTGCATCCCCAAGCACACTGGGCGTGTGTGTGCGTGTGTTCCAACTGCGCTGAGGTTGGGGGTGTATCGCAGTGTGACAACCTTGTCGGGGGTGCCCCCCTCGTCTCTGCTTTTCTTGCCCTTTCACAGAAGAAATAAATAAACTTTGGGGGAGCAAAAAGAAAGGTGGGAGGGAAAGAAGAGGGAGAAGTTCAAAGAGACCATTGTGGGAAGCCCCACGCTTCATGCAGGACCAGAGCTAGGTTGAGGTTGAGCTGAGTGTTTGCAAGTAGAAAGCCTGGTTCCCCTGCCCTCAGACTGTACTCCAAAAAATACAGTTTGACTGACCTTTGAATAACATGGGGGCAGGGGCAATGTCCCCCCATGGAGTAAAAAATGTGAGTATACTATTTGACTTGCCAAAAACCTTACCATTGACCAGAAGTCTTACTGATGACATGAACAGTTGATTGACACACACGTTGTGTGTTATATGTATTAGATACCATGTTCTTACAATAAAGTAAGCTGGAGAAAAGAAAATGTTATTTTTAAGAAAATCATAAGGAGGACCAGCCCATGGTATGGTGGTTAAGGTGACTGGATCCCACATGGGTGATTGTGCAGGTCAAATCCCGGACCTAGTGGCTTGAAAAACATGCTGGCCACTTCTGGCGTGTGCCCAAAATCCTAAGAGGAGAGTGAAGGAGTGAGGATTGTGGTGTGGCCATCTCCTCTGTGGAGTGCGTTCTCTTTCTCTGTCTCTCTGGCAAGCACACATGCCCTAGCACCGAAAAAAATAATAAGGAAGAGAAACTACATTTTCAGTATTGATTAAAAAGAGGACTTTGGGAGCAGACAGCCCCAGTTCCGGTGCTGCCTCTGTGTGATCATAGGCAGCTCCCAGCCTCTCTGAAACTCCGCGTCCTCACACCTGCTCTGCGCCAGGCACTATTGTAAATGCTTTCCAAGATCAGTTCATCTGATCCTTGCAACAAACTCAAGACACGGTCCATTTTACACATGGGGAAACTGAGGCACACAGAAGTTCAGAAATCTTCTAAGGATCACCAGCTTGGAAGTGAGGGAGCCTGGATTTGCCTAGGCCAGCTCTGGAGTCCCAGCTCATGACCACCAGGCTACACCACCTCCTTCCACCCCCTCTGCAAGGACCCACATGAGGATTAAGAGAGTTTATGCCCATAGGGTACTGGGTCAGAGCCTGGCAGGGAATAGATGCCAAAGCACAAAGCAGAGCTCTGCTTTTCCTTATTCAGCCCTTTGGGATGTGCCCTGCCATCTCCAGGACCAGTGTCTCCCCTGATAAATGGCCACCCAGCCCCCATCAGATTGTTAAGGACTGAATTTAAACTCAATTTGGACATAGTAACCAGCTTTCAGGTGAGCCACCACTTGTAAGGGGTATTGCCAAGACTTAACCTCTCTGCATCTCAGCTTCCCTATCTGTAAAATGGAATGCTGATAGCTGCCTCACTGGGTCACTGGGGAGTAAATAAAACCAAGGACTTTCAGAGCACCTGGCACACAGGAGCCTTTAGCGTCTGATACCAAGTCCTGACTTGTGTTCAACATTGTGGTGGGACTGAGACCTGAAGGCAAACAGGAGCCCCAGGTTAGGAGAGAGAAGATGTAAATCCTACCAGACTCCAAGGATGTGGTGCTCAGGGAGGGACAGAGGGAGAATCACTGGAGACAGGGGTGAGAGTGATGATATTGCAACTGAGTGGGTGGAGCTTTGTTTCTTTGAAATTTCTATTTTAGAAAATTTTAAACAGTGGGGCCAGCAAGTGGTGTGGTGGGTAAGGCACTGGACTCCCACATGGCTGACTGCAGTTTGAGTCCCAGACCTGGTGGCTTGCTCTCTTACTTTCTCTCTCTTTTTCTCTGTATATCTCTGGTGAGACGTATGGCCTATATCAAAATTAAAAAAACAAGGGGCCAACAGGGCACTTAGTGGTTAAGGTGCTGGACTCCCACATGGCTGACAACAGTTCAAGTCCCAGACCCAGTGACTTGAAACTCAGACTAGCATGTGTGTGTACGTGCCCAAAATCCTGAGAGGAGAGTAGAGGAGAAGGGATTGCACCATGGCCACACCCCTGGAGGGTGATTTCTCACTTTCTGTTTGTCTGTCTGTCTCTCTGTCTCTCTGGAAAGTGCATATGCTCTATAGCAAAAATCTCTTTCTCTCAGAAAAAAAGTAATAGTAACAAATAAAATAAAATAAGTAATTCTTTAAAAAAGAAAATGTTGGGAGACCAGCAGTTGGCGTAATGGCTATGTCGCTGGACTCCCATGTAGTCAACCACGGTTCGAGTCCTAGACCTGATGGTTTAAACTCATGCCAGACGCCAGACGCATTTTCGTGAGTGCCCAAGATCCCAAGAGGAGAAGGGAGGAGAAGGGATTGCAGCGTGGCCGTCCCCCCAAGGGATGATTTCTCACTTTCTGTCTCTCTGTCTCTCCCTGTCTTTCTGACGAGCGCATGTTCCCTATAGCAAAAACCTCTCCAAAAAAAAAAAAAATACTGGGGCCAGCAGATTATGTAATGGTTATGTTACTGGACTCCCACGTAGTCAACCATGGTTTGAGTCCTGGACCCAGTGGCTTAAACCTCATGCTGGGCACGTGTGTGTGCATGCCTAAGGTCCTGAAAGGAGAATGAAGAAGAAGGGATGAGGAGTGGCCATTCCCCCGGGTGTGATTTCTCACTTTCTGTCTCTCCAGTGAGCGTACGTGCTGCCCTATTGCAATAATCTCTCTCTCAAAAAAAGGAAAATAACAGTACTCAAGAAGAAATGGAACAAAGAGCCTTCATATTTTTACCACTGAGATTCAATTATTAGCATTTTAAAAAAATATTTGCTTTATCTTTTCCCCTCAAAGCACAGAAAAGTAAGCTATGGATACGAGATACCTTGACCCTAAGTATTTCAGCATATATCTCCTTAGGATAACCATATTGTACATAATACAGCACTAAAATCCCGTCTTACACAATTAGCAACAATTGCTGTCATATAGCACTCAGTTCATATTCATATTTCTCCCAAAGATGCATTTGATGATTTCTTCTCCCTCCCTTTCCTTCTGTCTCCCTCCTTCCCCTTCCTCTCCCTTATTCTTTCCTCTATTTCTTTTCTTTTTTGAACTAGGATCTGATCTAGGCATGTTCATTACAAATGTTTATTTCTTTTTGTCTACAATAGACCCTCTGAACATTTTTTCATGATGCTGACTTTCTGAAGTCAGGACTGTTATTTTGTTCAATGTCCTCATCCTTAAACTCTTCAGTTATTTCCTTGTGATGTCATCTAATTGGTTCCCTTATCCTATGTATTTCCTGTAAACTGAAAGTTAGATCTGAAGGTTTGATTAGACACGGACTGCGTATTCTTGGCAAGAACTCTTTGTGAGTAATTCCATGTACTTTCCGTCGCACTGCGTCGGATGCACACAGGCCTGGTTGTGCCACTATTCTCTGGGTCGATGGCTTGATAGGCGTGCAGAGACCACTCCACCATGGAAGTATTATTTTCCAAGTGATTTGCCAGTAAGTCGTGGCATAAGGAGTTGGCACCCTGCAATGCACACACAGGCAGGCTTTTGACAGACCATTCCAGGCAGAGAGAAAAGCCTTATTGGGGAGGTACAGGACCTGTTCAGGGCACTGGGATGGTCTGATCTGATGTCATTGGCTCCAAGAGGGGACTTGTCAGAGAGGCTGCAGCTAGACCACGCTAGAGGATTTTGATCTGGAGTGGGGAAAGAGGATGCTCTTCAAGAGCAAAGGAGAGCTGGAAAGGTTTGGAGGTGAAGGATAACCACAGTAATGATTAGAAAGTGCAGCATGAACAGCAGGACAGAGGACTTCATTCAGAATGGGTGGGGATGGTGGGATGGAGATATCTCTGCCACACCTTTCACAGGCTCTCAGGTGGCAGGGTTGTGTCCATTTGTTTTAATAGTAGCCATCACAACGGGTATGCAGTGGTATCTCATTGTAGTTTTGATTTGCATTTCTCCAGTCATTAGTGAGGTTGAGCATTTTCCCATGTACTTATTGGCCATTTGAATATATCCTTTGGAGAAATGGCTATTCAAGTCCTTTTGCTTATTTTGTTATCAGGCCATCTATACCTTCTCATCTCATTGGATTCCCACAATGCATTGGTACAGACATTTTGCCTCTTGTTCACAGAAGTGTCTCTGCAACTTGCCCCAGGTACTCAGCTTAGGGGTGTTCCTATGTCTGTCTGAATCCAAACTGTGCACCCATCTCAGTGCTTCTTCTTGGCCCAGACAAGTGCTCTGAGTGTCTAGAGCTTCCATCCTGGAAATTTTGTAGTGAGAACCAGATATGAAGGGGAACGAAGGCTGCTGGTAACAAGATGTCCATGTAACAGTTGCTTACACTGAGGAAATAGGTCAGCGTCTTGGTAGAGTGAGCTGTGTCCAGGGACTCCAGGATGGTGGGCTGGACCAACAGGGGATTGAGGAGCCCAAGAGAGTTCAGCCAGGTGCTCCCAAACCAACTTTCTCTTCCTCCTGGACACAGAGTTTGTCTCTGTTTCCTAGCATCTCTGCAGTCAGGGTGGCCAGGTGACCGAATTCTGCCAGTGGCACATGGGCAGAATTGATGAGCACCTCTTCCTAGCCTGGCTCATGGCTCCTTCCTGCAACCCTCCATTTTCTTCCCCCCATCTGCTCAATCACGAAGGAGTTCAGGCCCTGGGGAAGCTAGGAGGAGGCTGGGCCCCTGAGTGACTACATGGAAGCTTCCCCACTGACCAGGAATGTTCGGTTAGGCTTCATGTGAGAAGAAAAGCACTTTGTTGAGTTGAGCTACTGAGATTTTGGAATTACTTGTTGTAGAAGGTAGCCTCCCTCCTCTTCCCGGCACCCTCCCATGAAGGAGGGAGGTTAAAGTTGGGTTACTGAACGAATATGCCACTTAAAGCTTGATTTGGAGACTGAATGAATGGTTTCATCAAATTGTCCTGACAGGGCACAGTGGCTAAGCGCTGTGCATGGAGAGCCAGACCCCTCATGGCTGACCTTGATTCAAATCCCAGCCCCAGCAGCTTGAAAGACATAACAGATGACAGATTGGAGAAATGAAGGGAAAAACCATATGGCACGACCACACCTCACTAGGGGATATTCTCTTTCTCTGGAATAGCGGTAAAGTAAATAAGACTATGAATGCCAGTCAGTCTTCAAAAAAGACTCCCACCCCAACAGCTGGTCCCAGAGTGGGTGGGCCCTTCTGGACAGCCCTCTTTGTACCTGTGCAGCTGCCTCCCAGGGCATTATGTCCAATCCTGGCTCCCCTACATTTATGGGGTGACCTTGGCTAAGTCACCTCATATTTCAGTGTCAGAGCTTCCCCAGTGAGGGACCAGCAGATGGTATAATGGTTATGTCACTGGACTCCCACATAGTCGACCTCAGTTTGAGTCCTGGACCCGGTGACTTGAATTCTCGCCGGGCACATGTGTGTGTGTGCCCAAGATCCTGAGAGGCGAATGGAGGAGTGCAGTGTGGACTTCCTTCTTGAGGAGTGATTTCTCACTTTCTGTCTCTCCAGCAAGTACACATGCCTATAGCTAAAATGTCTTGAAAAAAAAAAAAGAAAGAAAAGAAAAGCTTCCCTAGGAGAGAGGACCATGGTGCTCCCTGCCCATCTCCCAAGGACAGAGAAATGGTGAATGACAAGAAACTAGATCAGACATTATCTTAAAAGGTTTATTTCCAGAAGACCTAAGGGACAAAGGCAGGGTGGAAGGGACACTCATGGGCCCCATTCCTGGACAGCGGGCAGGCAAGTACTGGCAGTGCCTACGGTAGGACCCAGGCCTTAGAAGACCCTGAGCTATACAGCTGACAAAGTGTTACTTCCAACCCAAGCCCCAAAGCAGCTTCATAAAGCAGGTATTCTCATCCTCATTGGTCAAGTGAGGCTCAGAGAGGTGAAATGGTGTCTCAGGGTAACACAGCTCCAGCCATACTGCTGAGCTGTGCCAGGCTCCCTCACAAAGGAACAGGTACATGAAGTTTATTTCCTTTACCTGAGACATTGACATTGTTGTCCCCAAGGAGGCACACAGAAGTCCCAAATCCCAGTCCTTAGCCTGGCCCCAATCACCTGAGAACAGTCTCCACCCAGGACTCCTTCACTTAACTGCACCTGTTTCCTTACCCTCCCCACTACACACAGAGCTACCCTACTTCAGGAAAGCTCTGCCTTTTCGTCCCCTACACAGTGTCTAAAATGTTTCCATTCATCTATTTGGCCGTTTAAGTATTTACTCTCTTTTTCTATATAAATATAACTAGAGCTTATACTATCATGATGAGCAGTCATTCACACCATAGCATGAATTTGGTTATCAGCTATTTAGGGAAGGAGACAGGGAAAGTGGACTGGGAGGTATTCTAAAGAGGTCAGGCCTAGGTGTTGGAGTTGGAGGGAAAGCCTGAGGGACAAAAGAGGAGTAAAGAGATCAGACACCAGGGAAAAGTCAGGGGGACGAAGAGCCTGTACACATTTGGGATTTCACCACTGACCCAGCTGGCCCTTTTCTAGTGATCTAGAGTTTCTGTGTTGACATGCGACTGCCTTTTGGCAGGGAGTGAAGGGAGAGAGACATTGCTTTGATTAATTCAGTCTGCAGCAAGGCCATGTGGGGTCCTGGGTTTGCATGACAAGACCTCCCTGAACATGTCAGGCACACATATGCCTATGATATGGGCTGGTTGAGGCTGGGGGATGGATCATGGCATGAAGACTTCGTTGGAGGGCTCTCTCAGAAGAAATAAGTAAATACACTTGAAAAAAAAAAATTGGCCCACAGCCAGGCCCTGTGCTCCATGCTGAAGGCCAGGAAAACAGAGTAACTCCGATGTCAACCTGCATGCAACCAGTGGGGCTGAGAATCTGGACAGGTGATCACTAGGGCCATTATGAGGGCTCAGAGGTCCAGGGGAAGCCTAAAAAGTGAAACTCAGTTGCTGGCTGCTTGGGCCAAGCAGTGCCCAGAAGGGCTGGTGGGCCAGACACACCCCAGCAGTGGGAAGGTCATTCTGGTGCTGGCAGCATCCCGGGCACAGACACGAGAATGGAGATGCCAGCCCAGGTTTGGAGAACAGGGAGCTGGAGTCCAATACTCACGAAGGGAAGCGGGGGGGTGATGCTGGAGTCAGAGACGGGCCAAGGTACCAGGTCTAGGAGCTCTGACCTCAGCTGAGGGCACTGGGAGCCATGGAGAATTTTGAGTGGGCAGTAACTGACCAGGCTGTAGCCCCTCTACTATGGCGGGCAGAGGATGGGTTGGAGGAGTTTCTAAGGAGGTAGGAATGAGGGTGACACGGATGGTGATCAGGGAGTGCAGAGAGTCACTGGCACAGGCTTCTGTTGGGGAGCAGCTGTGATGGCCGGGGAGGTGGGCATCCTGAGCCCTCCTAGAGGAGCCAGGGCTACAGGCTGCAGGTCAGGTCCTTCCTCACTAGCGCAGCTTCTTCATAATCCTCTTCACCCAGGCCTGTCTGGGGTCAGCACAGATCTCCCAGTCCCTCAAGGTCAGCAAGCTGGAGGAAGGAGACAGCATTAGCGGTTAGTATACAGCAGGAGTGCCACAACCCCTGGGACTTAGCGTGGATGAGCCAGCCACCTACCATATGCGCAACTTGGTGCTTACACGCAGGGTGGATCAAAAGTATGAGTCACCTGCTGTGTGCAAAGCACATTCCTCAGGGGAAGATAAGTGGCACAACTTACTCCATTTCTGCCTGAGAGCCAGGTCAACCCATGGAATAGAATCCCCAAGGAGCTTATAATATCACCGACATTGCCTTGGAAAAGAGTGGCTACAAGTGTGGATTTGGGCCAGCCCATAGCCTGGTGGCTAAAGTGGCTGAATTCTATGTGGCTGACTACAAGGTTTGAGTACCAGACCCAGCCCAAGAAACATTCTGGGTATATGTGCATGTATGCCCAAAATCCTGAAAGGAGAGAAAGAGAAGAGGGGATTGTGGTGTGACTATTCCACAATGGGAGTACATTCTCGCATCCCTTCTCTCCCTGGTGAGTGCAAATGCCCTCTGTCAAACAAACAGACAAACAAATAAATAATGTGTATTTTCAAGACAGCCTATCTGGGCTCGAACCCTAGCTCTGCCACTTGTTAGCAAGTCCCTTAACTCCTCAGAGCCTCAGCTTCCATATCCGTAAAACGAAGTTGATAATCATAACCCACCCTAAGGATGGCGAGGAAGATTTGCTGAGTTAATCCAGACCGAAGTGATCAGAGGTACACGCTGCTAAGTGCTATAGCATTTACTAGGTGCTATAGAATCGTGCCAAGAGCTGGCCAGAACCTTTTGCACTGGTTTTCTTTTAAGTTCATTAATTTTGTTCAAGATAGTGCATGCATGCACATGAGAGAGAGACAGAGAAAAGCACCCTCAACAGGGTCTCATCACACCACAGCCCCCTTGCCTCAGTCTTCTGGCTCCTCGGGATTTGGGGCATGTGTGCATGCTCCCGGTGTGTTTTCAGGCTGAGATCCAGACCACCCTGGGATCCAAAGCATGGTCAGCCACACGGCTTCCAGCACTGCCATTCAGCTTGCTACCCACTGTGTCAGGCTGGGCCACACATTGACTTTGAGAAATCCTTGCAACAAGTCTATGAGATCTTATTATTCTACCCACTTCATAGTTAAGGAAACTGAGGCCCAAAGAAGCAAAGCAACTTGTCCTAATGCAGAGCTGATAAGATCTGACTGCACTGTGAACCTAACTGTCTGGGAGCAGGGCCTTTAAAGAGCCTCCCCTCCAGACCCCTCTGAGAGGCACAGATGGAGAGGTGGGCGCCAGGCTCAGATTACCCAGCAAGCTGTGGGCTAGGCTCTCATCCTTACCCTGCTGCAGCACACACCAGGCCAGGCTCCCAGGCACTTGAGCCGTCATTGGCACGAGTGGGTGTGGGACTGGCTGGTAGTCAGAGCCATGCCTCCACCCTGGGACCCCCTTCCTGACTCTCAAGAGTCTGTTCACAGGGTCTGAGAGCTCCTGGTCCCCCTCATCCCAGCTTACCCCTGCCACCATGTGGGCAAGCAACAGACAGAATAAAGAAGGAGGAGGGATACGGAGGCAGAACATTGACAGGATGGGGAGGTATGGTGTTACTGGTTGAAGATACTTTGATCAACTGGACTGGGGAGAAATGTTCACATATTGAAATG